GATGCAACTGAAGATCAGACGTGGTAGACAAATGTGTGGGTGGCTTGAGTGCATCGCCAGTAAGAAGTCACTGTATCTGTGACAATGGACACAACGATCCTACATCTTCAGCCCTTCAGCTTCAGTTCTGGTCTTGTAATTGATTGATTAATAGATGGAGATGTTGAAATAGGATGAAGGCAAGTGGTGAAACACGGCAACTTTCAGTTGACTGGGAGTGATTAGCCACTATATATATCCCCGTGAGGTTGATAGGGAAAATCTCAGTGGTTGCCATGCTGACGGTTGATATATGGAAGATTGCTATCAACGCATAGACAGATAGATAGATACAAAGTCCCGAGAGAACGAAATGAAATGATAAGCCGACTGTATAAAAGAGGGGTCGTGAGGGGGTTTGGAGAAGCCTTCCCTTCCGTGTCCTCTTATACTCCTCTACCTGACGTCCTGGTTTGTTCCATAGCACATCTATATTTATCACCACAATCAAGCAAAAGTATAAACATCAACACTGCTCTTCTACAATGACAGACTCGCCATCAGTCGGAGACAAGGAGCTGCATGCTCTTCGACCGCGGACCATTCATCAGCCTCTTCACAATGCTATCCCTCCCGAACTACTCCCTCGTTTCGACCCGGTCTACGTGGAATACTATAACAAATATAATGCTGGACGGCTACACACTCACGAGGTACCCATCGAAGATTTTCGAAAAAATCCCGCCAAGTACGCCATCGCCTATGGTCGCGCAGCGGGACCAGATGTGTTCCGTATCACTGAGCAGAAATGCCCCGTTAAGGAAGGAGAAATCACTGTCCGAATCTTTGAACCTGCTTCAGCGTCCGATGACCAGCGCAATCCAAGGAAACGAGCAGCATATGTGAACTTCCATGGAGGCGGCTGGGTGTTTGGTGACCTCTCCGTCGATCATGATTTCTGCAAACGCCTCGTACATGGCCTCGATGGACACTTGGTGGCTTTTGACGTCGATTACCGACTGGCACCTGAGCACAAGTACCCAGTTCCTATCGAAGACTGCTGGGCAGCATTCAACTGGGTTAGTGATTGGTCATTAATTCCTTCACTGCACAATATTCAAGTTTGAGACCGTAGGCCTGACAGTCATCTCAGATTAGACTGCAGAAAGCACACGAATTCAATATCGATCCGGACCGAATGGCAGTTGGTGGTGTCTCCGCAGGAGGGCATCTGTCGGCTGTTCTTGCGCATCTCTGCCGTGACGCCAACATCCCATTGCGCTTGCAACTATTGACTGTGCCAGCCTGTGACTTGCACAGTGTCTTCACGCCGGACGGACACTTTGACCGTGAGAATTGCCCATACGAGTCATACCGGGAAATGGAGTTTACGCCGGCGCTTCCAGCAGCACGAATGGCATACTTCCATAGGCACTTTCTTGGGAACCCTCGACCTCCCAGATCCGAGGAGGTAGGTATCCACTCGGATACGATGTTTGTTTGGGATGCTGACCTAGGAGTTAGGACTGGAAAATTTCTCCTATGCTGGCTCCAAATTTTAGAGATTTAGCACCTGCTTTGGTGTATACAGCAGAGATGGACCCTCTTCGGGATGAAGGCGAGGCTTATGCTGCCAAATTGAAGGATGCCGGAGTTCGTGTGGAGCTGATCCGTGCTGTCGGAGCACCTCATATCTTTCCACTATTGGATGGAATTTTGGAGTCGGGGAGGGCGTATAACGAGAAGGTGATAGCCACGCTTCGGAGGGAGCTTCTGGTGTAGTTGAAGGGTATTCATCTTCCAGACAATAGGAGTGTTTATTTATAACGCCAGTGTTGTTCATTTCCCCAGACAAGTGATGAAGAAGGATCATGGTTTATCCGATAATGTTCTTTACAATACAATACCACCATGGTCAGTGAATCCGTTGAACTTTGGGAAGATTATCCTGTGGTATTGTGTTTCTGGAATACCGGACCGGGTGTTTTCGGCAGAGAAGCTCGGAAATTGTTGAGATACCTCTCTTGAAGAAACAAAAGGGCAAAAAACGGCGGCCGGACGGAAACGGGCAGAAGCTTTGTTTTAGTAGTCTCATTTTACTCGTTTTTCTCTTCCTTTCGCTCTCTTTACTTCCCTTTTCCCCCTTCTCTTAGCCTCACAGCAACCCAATTGAAGAAAATCAACATTCTTCGGCATCAGCCAATATGCTGACTTCATCCTCCAACTCGTCCCGAGCCGCGGTGCGCTCGATGGCCTCATTGACACATGCAGCCTCTCGTACCACCTCAATGAACGCCCCCGCAGCTGCCCGCAATGCTCTGGCTTTCGCTGCCCGCTCCCCCGCTTCGTTCAGTAGCCGTCGGGCGCTGAGCTCCAATACCCGTTCTATCCTTCAATTCCCCCGCCTTCAGTCCATTCAATCCATCTCCAACAAGAGAGCTTTTGGCACAACCGTCAGGATGGTGAGTGTGCAGTCTTTTCCTGATGCATGAAACGCTGGCCTTACGAATTCTCGCTATCCCTGCGCCCACAGGAGTTTGCGATCGCAGTCAGTGGAATATTTGTGAATCATGGTGCTGATCGTCTTCCTCTAGGCTTCTGCTACGCGAACCGAATCTGATGCCTTTGGTGAAATTCAGGTGGGTGGCAGACAGATCCTTTCCTCTATTCCAGTTCTAACGCGGCTGTCTTCTAGGTCCCTGCGGACAAGTACTGGGGAGCCCAGACCCAGCGGTAAGCGACCGAGAACAACGGCATTACAAACACCAGCAGTGTCTGGCGAAGGGTTATCACAGATTGCTGATTCAGATGAGGATAGCTCCCTGACCAACTTCGACATCAACCAGCCCCAGGACCGCATGCCGGCGCCCGTGGTCAAGGCCTTCGGTATCCTGAAGGGTGCTGCTGCTGAGGTCAACATGCGCTATGGTCTTGGTAAGCTTTCTTCTCTTCGGTGAAAGACATTTGGTGGAGAAAATGCTCATGTATGTCGTAGACCCCAAGATCGGTGAGGCCATTAAGCAGGCTGCTGCTGAGGTCGCCGAGGGCAAGCTGATGGACCATTTCCCTCTGGTTGTCTGGCAAACCGGTTCAGGCACCCAGTCCAACATGAACGCCAACGAGGTCATCTCGAACCGTGCCATTGAGATCCTTGGTGGTACCATGGGCACCAAGAAGCCTGTCCACCCCAACGACCACGTCAACATGTCCGCCTCTTCCAACGACTCTTTCCCCACTGCCATGCACATCGCTGCCGTCGTCGAGCTCGAGAACACTCTGCTGCCTTCCCTGCGCAGCCTTCGCAACGCTCTCCAGAAGAAGGTCGAGAAGTTCGACAAGATCATCAAGATCGGTCGTACACATCTGCAGGATGCAACACCCCTGACTCTCGGCCAGGAGTTCTCTGGCTACGTCGCTCAGCTTGACCGCAACATCGAGCGCGTTGAGGCTTCCCTCCCCCACCTCCGCTACCTTGCCCAGGGTGGTACCGCCGTCGGAACTGGTCTGAACACCTTCAAGGGTTTCGCTGAGGCTATTGCCGAGGAGGTTACCAAGCTGACCGGCACCGAGTTCAAGACTGCCCCCAACAAGTTCGAGGTTCTTGCCGCTCACGACTCCATCGTTGAGGCCTCCGGCTCCCTGAATACCTTGGCTTGCTCCCTCTTCAAGATCGCCCAGGATATCCGTTACCTCGGATCTGGACCTCGCTGTGGTCTTGGCGAGCTGATTCTTCCCGAGAACGAGCCCGGCTCCTCGATCATGCCTGGCAAGGTCAACCCCACGCAGTGCGAGTCCCTTACCATGGTTTGCTCCCAGGTTATGGGCAACCACGTCGCCGCTACCGTTGGTGGCATGAACGGCCAGTTCGAACTCAACGTCTTCAAGCCTCTGATGATCCGCAACCTGCTGCACAGCGTGCGCATTCTCTCCGATGGCATGAAGAGCTTCGAGAAGCACCTTGTTGAGGGCCTCGAGGCTAACGAGCCCAGAATCAACACTCTCCTCCACGAGAGGTATGTCTACAATCTTTCGCAAATAACTATATCTGAAGCGCTAACCTGTCCTAGTTTGATGCTTGTTACCTGCTTGAACCCCGTCATCGGTTACGACATGGCCTCCAAGGTCGCCAAGAACGCTCACAAGAAGGGCATCACCCTTAAGGAGAGTGCTATGGAGCTCAAGGCTCTGAGCGAGGAGGAGTTCGATAAGCATGTTCGCCCCGAGCTGATGCTGAGCCCCAAGGAGAAGAAATAGAGGTATGAAAAGCTGTTTGTTGAGGATGGCCGGAGCTATCATTTAAGGTCTTGGTTAGAGCGCTGTAAGGTAGCGGTTCATATATTTGTATAATTGAAAATCCATTGTAATATTTATTCCAATCGATTTACTCCCTGGTAAACTTACTAAAAATTCAGCCTCTTTACTGCTAGAATGGGTATTTCTGGCGAGGTCTTGGGGCGCGCTTTTGATGCCTATGCAGAGAACGATCCGAACCCTGGCTATTCTTGAAAAGCTGAATATCAACAGAAAGGTTCAGACGATTTCAGTGCTCTTGTTTTAGTCTTAAAGGGGAATAAAGGACTTGAACCTTCAGATAACGCAGTGGATAGGCACATGTAGTCTAGAGCTGAAAAAGATTCGCCGTCCGTCAGGGGTATTTTTAGTAGCAGAATTGTCTCAGATGCTCCAAGCCTCAACCACGGACCGCCCTTTATTTATGCTCTTCCGCGATGAGGAACTGACGACTTGTCTACAACATTACTCCCATTCGGTTCAATTCCTGAGTTATCGTCGCAATTGCCGTCTCTGAAAAGTCCTATACACATCCCTTGTTTCGCTCACCCATTAACTCCTTGGTACCTTACTCCGGAGTGCGAATCAACACCCCATAGTTCTGTAATCAACACCCCCGCCGAACCAAATTTGACAAAGCACAACAAACCCTCCACCACCAAAGCAACCCTCCTGACCTTCTTCTCCTCATCTTACTCAATTGCACCGTCTCCGACCGAACCAATACCAAAATGACCAACACCACCATTACTCCGACGACGACCACAGCCCCGGTCACCAAATCCGTCGACACCCCCCCCGCAGACGAGGACACCCCCCTCTTCTCCCCCTCACTCATCTCACCCGATGTCCTCGCCATCCTTCCCGCTGACTACACCATCCGCCCGGTGTGTCGCTCCGATTACAAGAGAGGCTACCTCGACGTCCTCCGCGTGCTGACGACAGTCGGCGACATCACCGAGGAGCAGTGGAACAGTCGGTACGAGTGGATCCGCGCCCGGAGCGACGAGTACTACCTCCTTGTTGTGTGCGATGGGCAGGACCGCATCGTCGGCACGGGGAGTCTGATCGTCGAGCGGAAGTTCATCCATTCGCTGGGTATGGTGGGGCATATTGAGGATATTGCTGTTGAGAAAGGGCAGCAGGGGAAGAAGCTGGGCTTGAGGATTATCCAGGCGTTGGATTATGTTGCTGAGAAGGTGGGTTGTTACAAGGTATGTTCTATCTTCCGTCTTCTTGGGTCCCTTCGGGATGGGGACAATTGGGTCTGACGCTGGACAGACGATTCTCGATTGCTCCGAGGTGAATGAGGGATTCTATGTCAAGTGTGGGTTTAAGCGTGCTGGGTTGGAGATGGCGCACTACTACTGAGTTGAGTTGAGTTTCCAGATTGAGCTGGACAGTGTTATTAGATTCGTTGGGTTTGGGGTATTTCGGCGTTGATCTGTTTTATTTGAGGATCTCACGGTGGCATGCTTCGTCGTTGTTTCAATTTTAACGATGAACATCGCTTCTCGAACGGACTGATTTTGTTGACACATGCACCAGTGAGACTGAAGACTCCTGCTCTGAAACCGTTCGAGCTAGGAGCGAATGCTTGAGACGCTGAGCACGGAGTCACGCTATCACTTTCGTGACGAGCCCTTTGAGAGGCCCTTGGGCCCTGAGCCGTACGTTTTTCCGTCATTCAGGTACATCATTTGTTAGAGTTGAACCCCCTGATAGAGCTTCAAGTATGCTAGACGGACTACTGGTATTAATACACCGCTGTTGCGAGAAGCACACCTATTAATACTATTTTGTTAGATGCAATAAGCCTGGCACTACGACTATGTCAAGACCGTTGAGCCTGGCTCAAGGCGACTTCGAAAAAAAAAAACATAGCCCATCATTTACGATAGTAGAAGTAGTACAACAAGCATAATCATGAAAGCGGAAAGGAGCGAATCCGACGCAGTGAAAAGAGGTAGATTGATCGAGAAAGACCGCGACGAATCAATTGACGGAATGCAGACATTCATATCCGCCACGAAACACAAGGCGCAGAAAGCCACTGCAGCCAGAAGGAGTGCACCATCATCCGTTGTTTGAGCATTTGATGGGGTTGATGCTTGACAAGAAAAACATGTTTGCAAGAATGAAGAAGTTTTTTTGATTTCCCAAACAATGCTTTAGCCCCATATGATGATTGTTGCAAGCCCATATTCTATTCATGAACCCAGTTTCCTTCCACTAGAGTCAGGTCGTCGTCCGTTGGTTGTTCCCGTATAAGTACCATACTGAAGGTAGGCCAGAATGTCACTTGTCCCGTACAACCGCCAACTAGATGATGATGATGATGATGGTGATTTTATGTTCGATGATCGTCGCCGAATCCCTCTTCTCATCACCTAATTTCCTCCGCCGGAAAAGACGCGGTCAACTTAGGAAGTGGGGTTGGGGTTCATCTGTAACGAATGTCCTTGTCAGTGTCTGATGCCTTTTCGATGCCAAGGACCTCCTGCAAAATCTGACGGACAGACGGAGAATGGGGGTTCTCTCTCTCTCTAGAAACTCCCAACTTCCCCGCCAAGAGCATATATGCATCCTTTCCATCGAGCTGGATATCAACATACCTTCCGCTTGCCACCGGTCATGGTAACGTTGACGAAACGGCGGGTGTACTTGAGGCGCTTCAGAGCACGGCCCTTGGGCTCCTTCTTCTTCTCTTGCTTCTCGACCTGTACAGTAGAACATAACCCATCAGCACTCTGATTCAGCGAATATCTCCCGGGAAAACAATCGGTTCATTAAATCGTCTTCGCATATATCGTCTCTGCCATTTCTGCATGTCGAACCGCTGCAAGAATCTTCCTCAAAATCCCTCCTCTTCCGGTGGCGACGATAAACCCTTCCCAGCAGGACCACGGAGATCAAAACTTCATTTAAGGAAGAACAAGAAGAACTCACCTTAGGAGTCGCAGACTTGACCTTACCCGCACGGGCGAGAGAGCCGTGAACCTTACCCATGGCTGCTGGTGATGTGTAGCTTGTCGGATCGAGATGGTAAGTTGACTGAGGTTGAACTCTTTCGGGGCTTCTCTGGAGCGGGTGGGATTCGATTGACTCTTGTGGGCAAAGCGCGCTAGGCTGTTCCGTAAGCGAGATGGCGACTCGGGATTAGTCAACCCCCTTTGTTTGCGGCCTTAGGCAGCGCCAGTTTCGTACAGGTCGCTATATAGGATTTCAAGCTGGCACGGGGCTAGTTCTGTCTTTGAAGGTTTAAGGGATACATTATTGAATATTCATGGACTGCTAGGTCCATGTCAACTTCGTCTTTTCTATGCTTTGTTGATGCTATATGTCGATACGGGGCGAGTATTCAGCCAGTATCGTTGCCTAAAAAGGAATGGGTTAGGTTTGAGCCCTACTACTCCATAATCAGCTAGTAGCTCATTTGGATACTGTATTGTAATTACACTATCCGCTTCAGCAAGATAAGCAATGCGCTCAGACTTATGATGCAACTCAAGTGCTCTTCCTGAGCCGATCATGGTGTTCATTCCACAGAGATCTGTACGGTACAGGATCAAGTACGATTTAACAGCTCTGATATCATCACTCTCATCTCTGGTTGTGAAATACCTTAGTACATCTACCTCTACCACGTATCGCCGATAGAGCCATTCGAGATAGTCTGGTGCAGAGCCAAGTGTTCTAGGCTTGTATTAACTCACAAGATGGGTTGTGTATAGAGAAGGATCCAGAATCTACAAGCAGGAGAGGAAGGTCTGTCACAAAAAAAGAACAAGGGCTTCATTATAACATCCATTTTTCCATTCCTGGTAGTTACCATGGCGCGAAAATGACAAAGCCTATCTGAACATCATGCGGGTTGTCTCATCCGCAAGAGCCCATCGCTCGCACGCCTGTTTGTTGTTGTTAGGATTTCGCGAGGGACACAAAATTCCAGCTCCGGAAACCTCCCAAAGTCCAACCACAAGGATCTTCCTATCTACTCCCCAGCCCAAGCCGAACCGCCTTCAATCCGTTTAACGAGACTTGGCGGCGACCTTGGGAGCAGAACCCTTAGCACCCTGCTTGCTCTGGATGCGCTGAGCAGTGCCCTTGGCGGCGGTGGCGGCGGTCTTGGCCTTCTCAGCCTTCTTGCGGCTCTCGGAAGCGGCCTTCTTCTCCTTGGCCTCCTTGATAGCCTGCTGGCGGGCGGCGGCACGAGCCTCAGGGCGCATGCTGCGGCGCTCCTTGATCACATCAAGGGAGGCACCGACGATGGCACGCTGGTGCTTGACGACACGGCGGGTGCGCTTCTTGGCAACTTCCTGTTCATGGTGAAAAACACACCCCGTCAGCAACTGCTCTTCCACGTCTCATATCGCGTCACTCGTGATTGTTCCAAGCCCCATTTGTCCACCCATTCAACGGCACTTCCATTGCCTCCCCAGCCTATAAAAGCTCCCTTTCCCACTCTCCTGCTTCGAACCAATCACGAGATCTTCCGCAACAAATCATTCAAAGGAAATCGGTAGTACTGACTTCAGAGATACCCTTCTTGTGCTGACGGCGGTAGAGGACAGTCCAGGCTATCCGGCGAGGGTTCTTGCGCTGGAGGAACAGGGACTCGGACTTTCCATTCTGGAAGCGGAAGATCTTGCTGTCGCCACGGACGTACAGCTTACCCTATAATTTGAAAATCCAACACTATGTTAACCCATATCCAGAGAAGAAGTTTTGTGGGACATTTTCATAAATCGGCGCTGCGCTCGTAGAGAATCGGGGCGGAAATTGTTGGATGATTGATGACTCCGGAAGGGACAAAACGCACCTTTCCAGGGTAGATCTTCTGGCCGCTGAAAGAATCGTCGTAGGTACGCATCTTGAATGTTGGAGATGCGCAGCCGGTCGAGACGAGGTTTTGTCGGTTGGCGTTGGGTGGTAAAGTCGAATCGGTCGCTGCGGCGAGCTGTTCGTGAGACTGACACAATTGTGGTGCGGTGCGGAGCCTCGCTAAAGTGCGACACGTGACCTCGTCTGCCCTTGGGCGGCCGCCTTACAACTTCAAGTCTCCCATACTTCTACTGTGACTACGATAACATCAAAGAAGCGAATAATTGCAAGGGAATTGTTATCTGTTGGCTCTTTCTCTGTGATCGTAATGTAGTTCATAATCTTTTTTTTTTTGTATTTCGCTTTTTCCCTTTTTTTTTTTTTTGCTTTTCCCATCATCCCCATATTTGATGCTCTAATGCCAAAGATGTCTCAAAGGAGCTTATCTCAGTCGATGCTCGAGTAACATGATAGCTAGAGACCAACTTCCCTTGCAATTGAATCTGCATTCGTCAGACGGAATTTGTGTCGAGTAGTCTCAAGGACAGCATCAATAATCATGCCAGTCGCACGCAGCCCAGGGATCTTCCTTGCAGTCCTACGCAGAGAAGGGGCCGTTAACGTTTATTCATTGTGCAATTGAGAAGGAGAGCAAAGGAATATGCCATTTCTTACCTTGCACTGGACGTCGCGGCATAGCTCGACCGGACAGATACCCCAGCAGTCGGAGCAGACATACCGTCCGCAACCTCCGGGCGTGGTGCACAGGGAGTAGGTGCTCGCCTCCAAGACGCTGTTGCCGAGGCTCTGGATGAGCTTAAGGATCTGGTTTGCGGCTTCAGCATGTTCAGGGGTGGGGTCTGCCTGGGCAGCGGTGCGGCGAGCAACGTCGAAGATGCAGCATGCTTTGCCGCAAACTGGGCAGTCTCCGAAGCACTTGATGCACTTTGTGTTCTTTGTGTCCCATTTTTTGGCATCCTGCGAAGCCTTTCCGGACTTGGTATCCTCATCTGGCTGTCCCTGAAATATGTTCTTCACGATGTGGTGGATTGCATCGAGCTGTCACTGCGTTAGCTATCTCGAACTATCGCGAACCAATTGACAAGATAACCACAGTACTTACTCTTTTTTCGAAAATGCCTCTTGGGTCCTGGTCGTTTGCAGGTTCGCCTTAGCTGGTCAGCAAAATTCACGCTAGTCCTTGGACACCTTATGCTCACCAGATTCGTCCTCAACAGATTGGTCCTCAGCAGATTCGCCTTCGGTACCTTTGGCCTTGGGGGAAAGACATGGGCTGGAGTCGCTGTTCGCGTTGCTCTTCTTTCCGGGTGTCTCCAGATCAAGGAACACATAGTCTGTTTATGTATGATTCAGCGTCATGCTCATCGAAAGTCTAAATGGAGAATTTCAAAAACTCTTACCGCCAGGCAATCTGAGGCACTTGACGACCTTTGGCTGCGCGGTGGTGATAGCAGCAGGCTTTCCCTCTCTCTTCAGGCCCTCAGAAATCTTGAGTTTCTCGAGGCCTCCTTCAATAGGTGCTGCGGTATCTCCTTCAACCAGATCTTTATCAGTCGCCGTGACTGAGGCAGAGCGGACAGAACGAGTCTTTCCTCCACTGCCTGCGGAGGAGGACTGGGTCTGCCAGCTCTTTCTGTCCATGCTGCTGGCTTTCTTGACAGAGTCACCAGTCATCGTTCTGCTGAACTTCCTTCTGAAAGAACTTTCCTTTGGGGATGCTCTATCAAGCTCCTTCTGTTTGACCGTCAGTTTTGCTGACTTGCAGATTCTTGGGCTACCGAGCAGAGGCAGTGAGATACTTGCCTTGTTTATCAACTGCGATGAAATCTCCACTTGCTTTCTCACCTTTTCACGCAGATCCTTCAGATTTGGTACTGCGGGTAGATCAGATGCGGGATGCGTAACGTCGCGGGGCGGGATTCTGCTCTCAGACTCGAAGGACCGAGATCTTCTGAGTTTGAGCTGCTTCCCTGGGTTCTTGAGATTGCTAACAACGAAATTATTAGCGGGAGGAGATACGACACGGGTCGTTGTCTGCAAATACCTGACACAAGCATCCAAAGCGCGAGCAACACGACTCTTGGGGACGATGAGACTGTCAGTGAGAGGGAAATACTCGCTTTGTGTTTGTTGGTATTTTAGTCTCTCGGCGTTCATCTTTTTTGAACGCTGCTTGAGAGCCTTGCGATCACCAGCGTGAGGGTCCGGACTCATGATCAAATGCGCAGTATCAGTATCGATGAAAGACGGTTCTTAAAGAGAGACAGGTCTGAGTATCAAGGTGCCTGTTCTCACCACAGTCCCTATGGCTGCTGTTCAGAAACTCACGTTACCAAGCTCTTGATGGACAACTTACTGAACACAGTAGACTACAAAGGCTTGTGAAGCAATCTGAGGCTATACTATTTACCAACAGCCTTCGGATATAAGTTGTTTTCTATCCGGCCAACAGAGGGAAGTGAATGTTCTATTCTACCTACAGGGTAGTCAGCAGTAGCAGAAACTCACAGTCTTTTATTCACAATTTCTTCATCCAGAGCAGCTTTGGAGTCCTGACTATCAAACTATTTTTCATCTTCTGGTGTTGGTTTCTCAGGATTGCGCACCTATGCCATATCCATGATTTCTGATTATTATTCTGCCTTGTAGTGTAATCTCACTTCTTACAGCACCAAGAGGGAGGATTAAAATTACTCCACATTATTGCGAATAATTAGGACGTCGCTGCCGTTCTCAACTGACTGGTCACTCGCTAGACAATTTCTTAAGGACCATTTCTATCCAACTCCCAGAACAGAAGCAAAATGTGGTAAATAATCAAGCTGGAAGATACAAAGCACTAGTTTGAACTCGATATTCGCTAAGTGATCATTTTGGGGTCTGACAGTTCTATATAGGAAGGTCTAGGCGGCATGGTGTAGTTGTGAGATGACAGACATGACAATGTGTAAGTCAGCAGCCTGAAGCCGAAAATTCCACGAGTCATAGCCACAAAATCGCGCTGCTTTTCAGCAAAAGAGGAGAAATAACAAGGGAGAGGACGCCAAGGAGACTCGTCCCACATGAAAGGCATAGTGGTATGTTATACGGCATGGTTGGAACCACATGAGAGCCACCAGGGCCTGGGCTTGCGTGATATTTTCTTCATGGTCACATAACAGCAGTCTCGCTCTCATATTCGTCATAGAAATTTGACTGGGGTGTCCCAGAATCTAAGTCATTGCATGAGTTCTCGTCCATTCCTTTGCAGTTTGTATCGCAGCTTGCTCATCCTCCTTCCAACGCTGGGCAACGTCATTGGCGAGCGGGTCATCGGGGTTAGGAGCTCCAAGCAAGGCCTGGATTGAGAGGAGAATTGTGCGGATTTGTAGAGCAGGGGACCAGTTGTCTGATATACTATTAGCCAGTGCGCTATCCCCAAATAAAACAGAACGACGTACTCTTCAAAACATCCAAGCAAATGCGTCCAAGGCGGTCAATGTTGGGATGGTAGATCTTGGTCAAGAAACGGATCTTTGGCGGGGTCATAGGATAATCCTCTGGCAGAAAGAGCTCGAGACGAAAGATGCCCCCTGTTCATACTATTAGAAACCCGCTACTTTCCCCAGATGATTTCTAACGGTGTCAAACCTTCGTATGGCGACTGAGCAGGTCCGTGAATCGACACGTCGAAGTATCGAAGGTTGTCTTCATGAGGCACAGCGTTGATGCCGGGGACCCTTAAGGAGAAAAAGCGTCAGCGACGATAACTTATGCTCCGGAGTTAATTCTGACTCACGGCTCTGCCATGAGGCGCTCGGTCTCCTTTACAATTCGCTTTGGCAGGGCCATGATGAACCACCAAAAAGGAAAAGCTTATCGTGATCCGAGTTTCCGCTCTTTCTGATATCCAAGGTATGGTTGACAGGTCTACTGGACTTCAGTTTTATTTCTCTAGCGGGCTGATAAAGAGAGAAATTGGGGATAAGACCCAAGAGATGTGCAAAGAGCCAGTGATGAAGTGACCAAAACACCAAGGATTCAGATACTTGTCGTAGTAACCTCCAGTAGAAGAAATTAGAAACCGACGTAACCGACAGAGGGGCATTTACCTGCCGACGTGTGACCGCCTTCTCTATTAGACGTTTCCTGTTGATGTATCACGGTAGCCCATAAAGACAACCTGCGCAGACCTTTGATTAGTCATTCCCTACATGTGCTGCTAAGTTAGTTAACTATCTCCACAATTACTGAATAATAATTGCGGAGATAAGGGAGTTGGGCCCTGCACTCTGCATCCTGCACAGAGCTACGGAGTACAGGCTAATAATACTGCCATGCTGCAGGCCCCAGCCTTCCACTCACACAAATACTTTATTTTTAAGGTACGTGACATACTCTTATTATAAAGGGCAGACACCTGCTCACAGCGACTTGACCACAGCCCAGCAGCTGAGGCAGTCGCGAACACCAACCAGTTTCCGAACACCCTGGTGTCGTTCAAGCTTTCGAACAATTGAGCCTCAAATAATGTGCGCAATAAATGGTCTCACACGGTCGTGTCTCCCATAATCATTTGATGGCCAATTGCCAAGTTCCTCCGAGATGAGAGCACCTCAGATCTCCCTACCGCTCATCCTGTCCTCGTGCGATCTTTTAATTTCCACTTCTAGCTCACGTCCGAGGTGGACGCGAGACTGCACGGTTTAGGAAGCGCTTTGGAACGACCAATCCCTCTGGTTGCAGCAATAGTCGACATAATGGAGCCCAGGCCCTTGTCTTCGGCCTTCGAAAGTCCCACTTTTGGGGAAGACAGTTCGTTCCATGTGGAGCAGCCCGTCGGTTCCATGTCCATATCTCCATGTGGAAGAGATGTTGTGTTGGCTTCGAAGGAAGGCCTGCATGTCATTGACTTGGATTCCCCGTATTCTCCTCCGCGGTATCTTCCTCATCACACGCCATGGGAAGTTGCAGACGTCCAGTGGTCTCCTTTCGCTGCGCGGGACTATTGGGTGGTGAGCACTTCCAACCAGAAGGCCTTGGTATGGAATCTGGCAATGCAGACGGACGAGAATTCTATCGAACATGTCCTGCATGCTCATACGCGAGCTATCACGGATATCAATTTCTCCGCTCACCATCCCGACCTTTTGGCAACGTGTGCGGTGGACAGTTTTGTTCATTGCTGGGATCTGCGAACGCCTTCCAAGCCTGCTATCTCATTCTCCGACTGGTTCGCTGGTGCAACGCAAGTCAAATGGAACAGACAGGACCCAAATGTCATCGCCAGTTCTCATGACAAATTTCTTCGAATATGGGATACGAGAATGGGAGCCTATCCAATCAAATCCATTGAGGCCCATGATACCAAGATTTATGGGGTAGACTGGAACAGAGTCAGGCCAGGAGCTTTGGTAACATGTTCATTGGATAAAACAATCAAATTTTGGGACTACACAGTAGACGACGAAGTACCCGAGAAGGTCATCACCACTCCATTCCCAGTATGGCGGGCACGCAATACCCCATTCGGATGGGGAGTTTTGGCTATGCCACAGAGGGGCAACAGCGACCTTCATCTATATAGTCGCAGGTCAGGCGACGGTACCAACCTCAAAGAGAATCTTCCACTGGTGCACAGTTTTCCGGGACATAAAGGCCAAGTGAAGGAATTCCTTTGGAGAGCACGTGGAGGTGTGGCGGATGGAATCGATTACAGGGAGTTTCAGCTTGTGTCGTGGGGCACCGATAGGGAGCTTCGTCTACATCGAGTGGATCCAGATATTCTCCAACGTGTCGGCTACGAGAGAGGGAAGTCTTTCGTTTCCACGTTGAACGTCACACGGCAAGGCGCTGTCTACAAGACTTTCCGTGATGCAACTGGCGAGGATGGATATGGCGAACCAGATTCTGTTCTATCACCCAACCCTAAGCTTGCTGGTGGTATTGGTATTAATACAATATCTGTTCCTTACTCCCGCCCATGGACTCAAGGGGGCAACGCAGACTCTAGAGTCGGTATGCAAAGAAGGTCGAACTTCCGGGCTGATACAAACCCCATATCCTGGATGCGTGGTGTGAAGATCTCGGGGTGGGATATTGAAACCCTCGGAGACGAGATAACACATGTTGGAGAGAAGTTCACCAAGGTTGCTTTCGAATCTGTGGATGTTAGGCAACGAAAAGCCACAATATCCCTGCATGGGCCATGGGGTGCAGAGGGTGATTCTCTGTTTCTCAAAGTGGATATCAAATTCCCAGTTGACTATCCCAAGTCTTCAATGCCCAGTTTCAGTGTGCAGCGGACTGCCGCTGTCACCGACCAGCTTGCTGATAAGCTGATAAGCGAGCTGAGAACGATCACGGAAACCTATTTGTCTCATAAGAGAGGTTGTCTCGAAGGCGTTGTCCGTTACCTTTTAGGGGAGAGCAGCCTAGAGGAGAGCATAGCTCATATACTGGGCGAGACAGCCGAGACAATCAAGTCTCCTATAAATGGCGACTTAGGAGACGACGAATCCAGCGATGAAGATGAAGTGGGAATGTCCCAGAGTCAGGAACTGGGCATGAGTTCTGAGCTACTTCGTCCGGTCAATAATGCTAATGTGATGGTTCCCGTGGCCAAGGCATGCGGTGCGCTCTGGGCCAATGATGGCCGACTAGTATGTTTCTTTCCTAACAAGAAGGACAAGTCATCACACTTGATTGAGAGTTTGGGACTCAAAGAGATGTCGAGACTATCAAGAGCAGATAAAGTCTTTGAAGGATTCGGTCGTATCCAAACAAGCTCCCCCGGACCGAAAATCAGTGGCACACTGGCGAGCACGGATGATGGTACCTCGGAATATTCCGATGATTCGGATGCTGAGACTTCAAGTTCGTCAGGTTCGTCAGACATGTTGTCAGGCTTGCAAGCACGATTCCCAACATCTCAAACATGGCGCAGCGCTGGAAGTTTGGGTATTTATCGGCCCAGGTCCACCGACCACTCGCAGCGATCAACTGCTGGGGCGATGACTGCGAAGTCGTCCGAGTTTGCGCAAAATATAATATCTATACATGATCTCAGCGATCTCTTACCAGCAAAGCGTGAATTGGCCCGAAGATATCGCATCTGTGGCAAGGTTACTGATGTATGTGCTCACAATGCTTCGGCAGCCCTAGATCTGGGCTATCATGAACTAGCTCGGATCTGGGGACTGGTCAAGCTGATTTTGCATAATCAGAGCATGACC